TTCTATAAATTACTCAACTTCCCCGTAGCGCATGAGGAACCAGCACCATCTGCAGGTCAAAGCTGGAAAAGACTTACAGACACCTCTTGGGCACCAGCTTCCCTGTGCCACTTACTGGGATACTACTGCATCTTCCATGGAACAGTAGAACAGGCAGAGGTGGAAAAACAACTCTAGAAAACTAAATGCACTTGTAAAAACTGCCAAGTACCTGGTACCATACCTATTAACCATTTTAAATGAGAAGCAACTTATTATTCCTGTCCTATCTTCTGTGACGTTGAAGTATTTGCCCTGTGCCATGCCTTGTGAAGTTTAAAACCATTACCCCCTTGCCCTATTGCTACAGGCCCTGCTAAAAGTACTGAAAGGCTGCAGTCAGGTCTCCCTAGAGCCTTCTCTTTTCCAGGCTGAACAACCCCAACTCTCTCAGCCTTTCTTCATAGGAGAAGTGTTCCATCCCTCTGACCATTTTTGTGGCCCTCCTCTGGACCCGCTCTAACAGGTCCATGTCTTTCCTATACTGAGGACTCCAGAGCTGGATGCAGTACTCCAGGTGGAGTCTCACCAGAGCAGAGGGGGGGAATCACCTCCCTTGACCTGCTGGCCATGCTTTTTTTGACGTGGCCCAGGATACAGCTGGCCTTCTGGACTGCAGGTGCACACTGCTGGCTGATGTCCAGCTTTTCATCCACTAGTACCCCCAAGGCTTTCTCTGCAGAGATGCTCTCAATCCCTTCATCCGCTGCATTGATACCAGAGGTTGCCCCAACGCAGGTGCAGGACCTTGCACTTGGCCTTGCTGAAACTCATGAGGTTCACATGGGCCCAATTCTCAAGCTTGTCCAGGTCCCCCTGGATGACATCCCTTCCCTCATGTGCGTCAGCCACACCACTCAGCTTGGTGTCATCTGCAAACTTGCTGAGGGTGCACTCAATCCCACTGTCTAGGTCATCAGTAAAGATGTTAAACAGTGCTGGTCCCAATATGGACACATGAGGGACACCACTTGTCACCAATCTCCGTCTGGACATTGAGCCGTTGGCCCTCTGAATGCAACCATCCATCCAATTCCTCATTCACTGAACAGTCCATCCAGCAAATCCCTCTCTCTCTCCAATTTGGAGAGAAGAATGTTGTGGAGGACCATGTCAAAGGCCTTCCAGAAGTACAGATATATGACATCAGTAGCTCTTTCCTTGTCCACTGATGCAGTCACTCCATCTTAGAGGGCCACTAGGCTGGTCAGGCAGGACTTGCCCTTGGTGAAGCCACACTGGCTGTCTTGAATCACCTCCCTGTCATCCACGTGGCTTAGCAAAGCTTCTAGGAGGATCTGTTCCATGATCTTCCCAGGCACAGAAGTGAGGCTGACAGGTCAGTAGTTCCCAGGGTCCTCCTTTCTTCCCTTTTTAAAAATGGGTATAATGTTTCCCATTTTCCAGTAACCAGGGGCTTCACCTGATTGCCATGACTTTTCAAATACCATGGAGAATAGCTTGGCAACTACATCAACCAATTCCCTCAGGACTTCAGAATGCATCTCGTCAGCTTCCATAGACTTATGTACGTTCAGGTTCCTCAGGTAGTCATGAACCTGACCTTCTCTTACAGTAGAAGGGACTTTGCTCCCCCAGTCCTCATCTTGCAGTCCATCCACTTGACAGGTGCAGGAAGAGAGGCCGCCAGTGAAGACTGCAGCAAAAAAGTTGCCAAGTACCTCAGACTTCTTGTCCATTGTTACCAGTTTGCCAGTCTTGTTCATCAGGGGGGTATGCTTTCTTTGACCTTCCTTTTCTGGCTGGCCTACCTGTAGAAGCTCTTATTATTCTTTGCATCCCTTGACAAGTTCAGCACCAGCTGCGCCTTGGCCTTCCTGACCCCATCCCTACACAACTGGGCAATGTTCCTATACTCTTCCCAGGATACCCGACTCTGCTTCCACTGCCTGTACATTTCCTTCTTACCCTTTACTTTGACCAGCAGGTCTTGGCTCTGCCATGCTGGTCTCTTGCCTTCCTTTCACAATTTCTTACACTTGGGCATCAAGAGCTTTTGTGCTCTATGGAAAGTATCCTTAAAGATCTGCTGCTTCTGTTCTGCTCCCTTGTCCCTGAGGGCATTGTTCCAGGGGGCCCTACTGACTAACTCCTTGAACAGCTGGAATTTTGCTTTTCTAAAATTCAGCATCCTGACTTTTCACCTGACCCATATTCCTCAGGACTGCAAACTCCACCAGTGCATGATCACTGCAGCCCAGGCTGCCTCCAATCTTTATATCACCCATTAGCTCATCACTGAAGCTGAATTAGGTGAGAAGCTTAGTTTGTCTTTATTAATGCCCCATGTCCCTTACTGCTGCCTTCTCAGTCTCTTTAGTCACCGAGCATATAAATGTGAAAAGAGCACAGTATCTTCTTAAGCAACAGTGGATCATTACATGTAGTACCACTAGCCGTACCACCTGTGTGTGAGCTTGAAAAATGGACCTTGCAGTACAGCATTAGAAAATTCCCTCCTCAGCTACATTGTTTGAAGCTGTGCTCCCTGACTGTTCTTCAGTTAGCATTCAGTCTGGATATCATCTCTTGATACAAGAATATTTCAGCATGCAATGAAACTTGTAAGAAGATTAAAAATCCATCCTATTTTATAACAGATGTCGGTGCTTAGTAGGAAACAATTACAATGGTTCTTCAGTACTTACCTGGGATGCCTGAGAAGTACTGGCTCTGTTTTCAAGCTCAGAACATTTTGTAGTAAAAGCAGATAATTTACATTTTAACTGGTTCATTTCTTCTGATAGGGAACAGAGTAACTGTTCTCTGCTTTCTGCTTCCTTTGTTTTTTCCTCTAGTTGACTTTGTAATGAGGAGACTTCACTATTCTTGGTTTGGGATCTAAGCTTGTCTTTCAGGCTTTGGATTTCTTTGTCCTGCTCTCCAAGAAGATGGTTGTGCTTTTCTAAATCTTTTTCAAGGGAAAGTATTTTCTAAAAGAAAGAGAATAAAAAAAGTGACACAAATGAATAAGTGTCAGTCTAAGCAACAAATGCATTAGCAAGTTTATAACAGTTTGAGAAAACACTCACTTTGAAAGGTTCTCTCAGCCTTTAATTGGCTGAGAATATTACTTTTTACTCAAAACAGACAATACTACAGTGATCATCACAATACTACAGTGATGATCTGAAATATTTCAAGTGATAGTAAAACCAGTCTGAAGTAGATGAAACAAGGAAAGAATGCAAAGAACCAAATTTCACAGACTTGGTAGGTATGTTTTGTATACGAATACAGATCACTGCAATAGATGAACCTTAAAACCCAAGCAGTACAAGAACTGAACACCTCCAGTAAAGAGGTTGGTGATACATTTCTTAGTGTTGGTTAGCATATTTAGTAGCTTTCAAGAAGCAGCAGAGCCTTCTTGCAAACTCAATGACAATAAGTCAAGTTACAAAAGAGTTATAATAAAGCATTCAGGAGAAGGATCCCGTTTTCCAAATTACCTGGCCTTTTAGTTTCAAAATGTGCTTTAGTATGTTTTGAACAGCAGGCACTCTCTTTTCAGTAGGCCTCCAGCACAGCTAAATATTACACGGCATTAGTACTGCACTTGAGATACCTTAGGGCTCTTCATAAACTTCTGTTATGATAACATTTAATTTTCCATGAGAAAGGTTGATACTGAAATACTACATATTGGTATCAAGTCATTAGAAAATGACAGAGAAATGAAAGAAATTGAATTTTAGAGAGCCTCATGTAAGGAGTGGTTGAAGACCACAGAGCGCTCACTAGAATTAAAATACTGACACCAAATAGTGCCTAGTATATCTAAACATGCCTGTGATTTACCACCTCTAAACTAGGAACCAGCTATTCAGTTATCAACACTGATTCGCAAATATGCCAAGGCATATTTGCGACAGTACATGACAACAGTACATGAGCTGTCTAGCCAGAGCTGCTACTTGAGTTAGTGCTTCTCAACTGATGTTGTAGCACAGACACATGAAAAGCCTTATTGTCAAAATAAGTAGCCTAGAAATATTAGTGTGCCCAGTCTCCATTGGCTGTATCCTTTGAAAGAGTCCATTTAAAGTTTCCCGGTTCTGGGAAGCCTCGTGGTATGCAACTTGGTCACATACTAAGTCTTGAACTTCTTTCTCTGCAACCACAGGTTTACCTTGAACGGACACGGAATAGACAGGGCACGGAAATTACAGCGTCTTAGTTTCTGCTCTTTGGTTGTAATGGAAGAATGTGGCGAACTGATTAGTTTTATTTACCTATAGCTGAGTAGGAGCTTGAGAATATAGTTCAAGCAAATACTCAGCACTTTTTGGCAGGTTCTTAGGCAACTGTTTGCAAACATAATGGTCTTTGCAGGAAATGCTCAAAATAAAAAAATCTGTCACCAACAGTTTCAGACAGTTAGACATGTGAGGACAGGTCTCAATGGACTAATTGGTACCTCTGGCCTCAAGTCTTTGTATTTAACAGCCTTGTCAGATAACGGCAATGTTATCAGTTCAGTCATCGCTGAAAAGTATTTGAGAATAAAAATGTCAAACTAAACCAGCACAGACATCGAAGTACACTGAGTTTTAAGAGGAAGGACATAGTCAGCCTCACGTTAACCATTCACAGTTCGGACACCACAACGCCAGCCCGAGCCCCAGCATCCCCTCACCTCCAGGAGCCCGCTCCTCTCCGCATCACCCAGTTTGCTTTTCCCCTTCACCAGCTCCTCCGTGGATTTCCTCAGGGCTGCGTTCTCTTGCCTGCACTTAGCGAGATCATTCTCAGGTCTGGAGCTACCCGACTTTAAGCCCCATTTCCCTGTAATTATATCTTTGGCGGTCCTGGAATTCATCTTGAAGCAGCGCGGGGCTTCCCGGCTCCCGCTGGCGGCTCTCGGCCCGGG